GATGCCACGCTTACTTTTTGCAATAGTCCAATGAATAATGAAACGAAAAGCGATAGAGCGCCAATACAGTGCGTTTATCGGAAGTAGTGAGAAGCGTGGAGTCACTGTTTCTGCCGAAAGAGTTATGTTCACTGGATGTGTATTTGTAGTTCACTGGGTGTGCATTTGTTATGTTTATTGGGTGTGTACCTGTCTGTATGCATGTGTGGGTGAGTAAAGTGAATATATGAGCGAATGAGAGGGGGGAGGGGAGGAGAAAAAGAAATAATAAATAGTGGCGCACACCAGGACAGCCGGTGCGATCATGCGTTTTGTGCAACTTCGTTCACCGAACGGTTGCCTGCTAATGATTTTCACTACTTTGAATTTAGATTTGAAGAGATGCACATGGGCAGGGAATAAACTTCCGAAATTTAAGCCTCCTGGGTTCCACGACTCTCGAAATAATAGTTTGCCTGCCAAAAGTTTGACGGGAGCCGTGTATGTTAGCCACGGGTACAGGAAGGCTGAATTTAAATTTTCTGGGTCGCACGTGGGCAGCGGATATGCCAACAGAATTTTAGCTTTCTAGCTTCCGTGGTTCTCGAGATAATAATTTTTCCCGCCAAAACTTTTACGAGGCCATACGTGTTATCCGCAGGTACGGGGAAGTTGAGTTTAAATTTGTGGGGCCATACTTGGGTGGAAAGTATTCCCCTAAATTTTCAGCGTCCTAGCTTTTGTGGTTCCCAAGTTGAAAGTTGCGAAGAAGTTGCTACGTACACGTCCACACACACACACGCACACAACTTCGTGACAATATATGTTTTGTACAACTGTTACATAGCATAAAACGCATAAAAATAAATACTTGAATCAGGGAGGCTTGTGGACAGCTGGATAGGGTCGAAGAATGTTGAGTACTTAAGTCGCTGGAATATGTTGAATTTTAAGTTCATCACGTCTGTAATAACTGTTTTCAGACTGTTCCATTTTGATTCAAACGTGCGCCTACAGGATGTGGATTTCATTGTTGTAGTAGATATCCGAGATGCCATTAAAACGAAATTGTTGTAATGCTGCTCGACGCATTCAATCAGTTAGTTTTTAGCATTCGTTCGGCATTCACCAAATAATTCTTCGACTTCGAAACATAGATGCCTCTTCATGTCGCGAACAGCGAAAGAACGAACGTTCCGGAAAGTCGATAGATTTCTGGACTATGATCTCGAAATCCTTCTTTGCCGATCTTTAGTTTTATTATTAAGAATAGGTTATTGTGTAGTCTTATCGTCAGAGAAGACGGCTGCGTCATCCTGTCTTGCCCCACCGCATCAGCCGAAGGAGGTTACCATCCCTGCTAAAGAAGGTCTCGTCATCGAAGAACTGGTTGGAGAATTATTTTAAGCGACCTTCCTGAATTTTGCCTAAATTATTTGCGAGAAATCTCGGGACTGCTTTAGCCTCGGCAAGAATTTATTGGTTTGTTTTTCCTTGTTAAACCAAACCGTTTTTTTTTGTTTGTCAAGGTTGCATTAAAGCATGTTTACGTTTAACAACACTTCATGTCAATGTGAAAATCCCAGTAGGCTGAAGTTTAGCTCTTTCTTTTAATGGCTGAAACCTATCACCAGTTTTTTTATAGCTCTGTAAAAGAAGCCATGTTTTGGGACTTTATTTTGCTGTTAAAAAGTGCCACAGTTTATTTTTTCAGTTTATTACACAACGAAGCCATTTGGCTACAGTGCAGGCAAGTCCAGCTCCCAGTTATGGTGTCAAACCTTTGGAAAAAATTAGAAATATAGGTTTGTCTGTCAAATTTTTGTCTCTTCTGCCTTATAAATTATTACTTTTTCTGTCGTAAAATTTGAGGGATATCGCTTTTTTTTTATGAAAGGTAAAGAAAGAAAGCAGTCAAAATCAGTAGAATAACCATCGGATGAAGCCACAGCAACATTGTAGTGTTTGATTACTGCTATGATTGCACCAATGCATAAGTATACAGTGAAACTCTGTCAAGACAGAACAACAAATGGCTTATTTTATAAATTTGCTTGCAACTTATCAAAAAAAAAACTTTCTCTTTTAAAATCCTTTTTTTCTTCCTTCCTTTTCCCTTTCTTC